CACTGACATAGACTTCCGTCCAGTTCTGCATTTTAAGATCTTTATTTAGGTCCTCCAGGGCTTTAACTGATTTATTTCTTTTATAATTAATAAAATTATGTTTTATGATATTGTTATTGTTATTGTGATATTTAGACACTACGAAAATAGGTAAATGATCACTAATATCTGTCATCAATATCCCAGTTTAAACAACGTCCTCCTTTCTATTAGTGAATATATTATCAATTATTGTTGCACTTTGGGTTGTGATCCTGGTAGGTTTGTTTATCAAAGGAACCAACCCTAAACTATAGATCATATCAAAAAAATCACTTGATGTTCTAAGAGCCACAGGATGTTCTAAGTTAATGTTAAAGTCCCCACACACAAACAATGTTTTGTTTTTAATATGATCCACAAACTCATTTATTTTATCTGTAAATGACCTGATGCAAGAACCGGGTGCTCTATATACACAACTGATTATTATATTTTTTGATGTGTCATTGATAATTTCCACTGTTACCATTTCCATAACATTATCTTCCATCATAGTCATTTTCTTATCTAATTTACATTTTAAATCATTGTTAATGTACAGGGCAACGCCACCACCCCTTTTATTTATTCTATTTACAAAATGAAGTTCATACCCTTCTATTTGTACTTCAGTCATCCTTTCATCATAAAGCCAAGTCTCAGTAATGGCAATGACTTTGAATTTACTTTTAAATTTACCTAAATAGTCCTTTATTGTTGATAACTTGGAAACTAAACTTCTACTGTTTATGTGTATGATTGATAATGAATCATTGTTAGTTAACCCACTATTTAGCTGATCTTCTGCATAATAATTACTATTTATATTTAACTCAAATAAACTTTCGTCTATTTTACTGTCAAGTTCATATATTTTCTCATGGGAATCCATTTATTCTTTATGAATTCATTTGTACTTCCATATCCATAGTTAAACTGTTTCCACTATCCATTATTTAGTCAGTGCTACACAATAAATCATCTTTTACCCTGCAACACTTCCAGATCTTTCAACTCTTTGATCATTTTTGCATTTAGACCTTGTTGCTCTCTAATCCATACAACACCATTTCTCGTCCACGTGGCTGTGATTTTTTTTGTTTTCTCAGCACCCTTGCTTCTTTGGCTATTGTTTCATTCTTTTTCGTCAGGTGTTCATTTATGTACACATTTGTACCTTTCAGTTTTTTTGCTTGCCCCAACAACTCATTTCTGTACTTCCTACTGGTAAATCTCACTATGATGACTGGTTTTAATTTGTCTGCCTTTCTCGGAAGGGTATGACAGATTGATATTGCATCACTTTGGATATGAATGTTCTTACTGTGCAAGAAGCTCAACACTTGTTGTTCTAGTGACTGGAGTTCTTCCTGTGGAGCATCCTCAGTTGTGTTTCTATCTCCAGTAACGCTGGCATAAGTCCTATGTCTTGTTTCCAAACCAGTTATCACCAAGTCATCCCTTCTGGTATACTGCTCCAGTTCATCCACCCTCTGTTCCAATACCATGATCTTCTTGTCATTTTCTGCAAGCTTGAATTTCAGTGTCTTAACCTCATCCATTAATGACAGTAGTTGATCCTGTTGTACTGTTAGCTTAGACAGCTCGGCTGACATAAAATTCAATGATTTTTTAATTTCCTCCATATCTTCCTCGAGTTTCTCCGTTTTTCTAGGAGGGGCCATTGTATTAGGCTTACCTCTCTCTCAGTCCTGGTTGCCGGTGAATCTGGAGCCTGGAGCCCCAGGCTGAGCCTGACTGTTGGATCAGGTGGCTGGTATTGAGGTGATGGTGGAACCTGGCTACTGTGCCTGGAGGCTGTTGGTGGAGCCTGGCTGCTGGGCGTGGAGGCTACTGGTGAGCCTGGCTGCTGGGCCTGGAGGCTACTGGTGGAGCCTGGCTGCTGGGCCTGGAGGCTACTGGTGGAGCCTGGCTGCTGGGCCTGGAGGCTACTGGTGGAGCCTGGCTGCTGGGCCTGGAGGCTACTGGTGGAGCCTGGCTGCTGGGCCTGGAGGCTACTGGTGGAGCCTGGCTGCTGGGCGTGGAGGCTACTGGTGGAGCCTGGCTGCTGGGCGTGGAGGCTACTGGTGGAGCCTGGTTGATGAGCCTGGAGGCTGACGGTAGAGCCTGGCTGCTGGGCGTGGAGGCTGCTGGTAGAGCCTGGCTGCTGGGCCTGAAGGCTGCTGGTAGAGCCTGGCTGCTGGGCCTGAAGGCTGCTGGTAGAGCCTGGCTGCTGGGCCTGGAGGCTGCTGGTGGAGCCTGGCTGCTGGGCCAGGAGGCTGCTGGTGGAGCCTGGCTGCTGGGCCTGGAGGCTGCTGGTGGAGCCTGGCTGCTGGGCCTGGAGGCTGCTGGTGGAGCCTGGCTGCTGGGCCAGGAGGCTGCTGGTGGAGCCTGGCTGCTGGGCCAGGAGGCTGCTGGTGGAGCCTGGCTGCTGGGCCTGGAGGCTTACCTCGTTTTGTTTCACTGAAATAAGCAGTATTCTCTGGCCCTGTTTGATCCTTTGACTATGCAGGGCTTCATGTCTGGCCAGTGTTTTTGGATCAGCAGGTAGTCGCGGGCAAGTTGTTTTTAAAGTAAAAAGAAGTTAAATAAAATTTCATAATACTACACGTTTATTAACAGTGAATGTTTGCTTCAAATAAGCTCTTTATATGAAATGAAATGTAGTATTTTTAAATGTAATTGCTGTGAGTCATTCTATTGAATTTTACAGAAATAAATAAAAAATAATTAAATATAAAATCGTCTCTAAAAAGATTTCTGAAATATTTTTCATTGATTTTTCTTCACAGAAGTTTTGAGAATGACAGAAGTATTGAATTTCACAACACTTGCTGTTTCAGTGCTTTTAGATCTTTAGATGTTTCGTTGGTTTACTGAATTACAAGCATTTCACAAGTTTCTCTGGATTTTATTGATGATTATATTAAATTTATGCAGTCTACGCATTTTCTCAGTCCTTTTTGAAAAGATAGTTCAACCGGGGAAGCTGCAGATCCACTGACGGTCAACATCCTGACTAATGGCTTTTTGTTTGTTCCCCTGCCTCTTAAAAAGATGTCTGTAGGATTAAGGTCTGAGGCGTTTCCTGGACATGCACTAAAAGAGCTGATGCTTGCTTCATGATCCACTTAGTTCTGACTTTCTCCATCTGGCCTGGTGCACGATCATGCTGGAGATGAGCTTCTACTTCATCAAACTGTAGATGGAAGGCTGGAGGAGTTCCTCTGGGAGGATGTTTAGGTACCATTCCTAATTCAACCTGTGAGTGACTTGTTTTGATTGAGATTTTCTTTTCCATAGAGGGGCTATGTGAATAATTTGACTATGCTGGTTCAGGAGTTGGGAGTTTGTCATGTAACCAGTGGGCTGCCGTACAAACTCCAGCTCTATCCATCTCAGACGTTGTGTCCTTGAGCAAGACACTTCGCCCACCTTGCTTGCTGCTGGTGGCCTGACCTCTGTCAGTGTGCTCAAGACCAACCGAAGCTACAATGTAGCTTATCACCATCAGAGAGTGAATGGGTGAATGAGTGAGAACACCTTGGAGTTAATCAACACAGGCCATTCACCGTTTTAACTTATTCATACACTCTTCAGAACATTCTGGAGTTTATGCAAAAGGCCATCCTAAAAACCGAGTCATTTTCAAATGCTTTGGACATTATTGTAACTTTGTTCAAGGTAAACCTGTTCAGATTCTCCTCTATCATACTACAGATTCATCTGAACTTATGCAAAGTGCGGCAAGTCGACTTAAGCAATGATTTGATGCCATAAAATAAAAAAAAACTGGTACAAAAAGATGCATATATTATTTTATGCACTGACTACCACATTCCCCAAGAAGTAGACGTACAAAATGTTACACTTTCTTTTTTCTCTCAAATAAACAAACTATTAAAAATCAAGAAATTCAGGTAAAATGTAATTAAGCAGCACATGTTCACCACTAAGAGCCAAATAGTGGGCAGTGTTTATTTTTAAAAATAGCATCTTTTGACTTTTTCTGTTCAAATAGCAGATGGAACTATTTCCACATAAAATTCACATTATTGCTTTTGGTTTAAAGAGTTTCTTTTACATATCCTGACAGAAAACATCCGTCTTTACACGTTAACATGTAAATGATGATCTGATCCCGTTTCAGCTGTAGGGAATTAAAGGAAAGCCGACACAACTCAAATACGCTTCGCTCTGTTGAAGGATTTTTGGTCGTTATTGTCTGCCATTTCCATTTAATTAAAAGTCTAAATCAAACCTGCTGATTATGTAAACGTGTTCTTTCATGAAATGACTAAATTCGTCCAAGGATAAATCTTTGGCTGCCAAAAGTCGAGCCAAAGTGGAAGGGGCGAGAATGTCATGACAACTGGGGGGAAGGGGTGGTGAGGTTATGTGTAACTCATCTGTTTAGATCAAATTAAAGCATGAAGTTATGAATACTTAGGAGCGTGTCGGTTTGACTGACACGTTGCAGGTGAGCCATCGGCACTAGTGACTTGCTTCCTTCTGGAAGGCGTCAGCCTCGTGTTAAAAGTGGTACAGCCTTGAAGGCAGAGGGTAGCAGAGTCGATTAACTGCAGTTTCCTGGATAAAAGCACCCACCAACCCCCGTTAGCTTCGGATAGCTCGGTTAGCTCACAGCCACATCGGCTTAGAGCTTGATGGGTGTCAGTCATCTGCCCCCACTCTCACAGCCCCGCTCTCAGCTGGATTTTTGTATTTTCTGGGAGTGACGAGAAGCAGCCAAGATGGTGGTAGGAGTAACCGCCCACTGGGCTTCAATTCAGCTCTACAGAAACCTACAGGTTACAGCGTGGAGGGTTTGTCCGTATTATATATACGGTCAATGGTTCATCCCATCAAATGAAATAATCACAAGAGTTAAATTTAAAGCCGCCAAAAAAAACACTTAAAAACAGACTTCAGATCAGGCTGAAGAGAGAAGTAAAACGTAGCACCGTGTAGATTCATACCTTAGAAACGAGAGAACTGTGGATCTTCTTCAGAACGTCGTCCATCTCCAGCAGTTTGGGTTGGATGAGTGAACTGTGGGGTCCGCTGATGTGCCCGATGTGGTCCAGACCAAGGTAGTGGAGGATCAACACGTCCCAGTCATCTCGCTTCAGGGTGCGGTCCAAGTGACGGGTTACATTGTTGTCCACCTATAACACAACGAGGATATGCCAATGACATCACTGTAGCGTGAGGAAGTATGGGTTTTTCTGTGCCAAAGGTTGTATTTGCCCGGCTGGGTCGAAGCTGGGTCACCAGAAACTTTCACCCACAGATTAAGACCTAAGCCACCAGCAAGTCTACACGATCCCACAACAACCGAACATCTGGTCTCCAGAAGAAGGAGTTCTCACACAATCTAGCCATAATAAAAGAGTCTTACGCTTCCTTTGTTTATTAATGCTAAATAATCATTTTACCATTTTACTCATTATAAATGTATTTTAATCAAATGAATGATTATTATGCTTTGGGTAATCATAATGAACTATAATGAATCAATACTTAACTAAATAATGTTTTGAAGATGTTAGTGATGACCTTCACACTCGCTCACACAGGTCTGCATTCACAGTAACTCCAAAACACATTTGCTCTGACGCACAAGTTTGCTTTGGGAAGAGAAGTGGGTTTTGGTAAGTTAGTCAGTTCGGGTTTGACAACGAGAGAGAGCGGACGTGCTGAACAAACGCCAACGGGGAACGGAGCCGCCGGCTCTTTTCTCTCCCCCCCCCCCCGACGCTATTCTGTCAAGCCAGACAGAATAGCAGAAATGCAAACCAGCTTACGCAGACTCGTCCCAGAGTCTTTGATTTCTGAGTTAATTTAAACTTGAGAAAGCGCATCTGCTAAACGCTTCATCAACGTGTACCGAGGTCAACTCTGGACCGGATCGTCGCACACCTCCTTCTCCTCTGCCAGCCAAGGTGTGACCTGGATAACATCCTCCGAGGTCCGGATCCGAAAAGAGGGTCCTACGTACGGTGAGGCAGAACACAATAGATAGCGTTCTGATGCAGTTTTTCTACTAAGAACTAAGTTTAATTCAAACCATCATTTTTTTCACTCAGATTCGCCTTTTCTCTCCCTGAAGCAATCTCAGACACCTGCACGCACGCATTCATAATTCCATCATTCTCAAATCTTAGCACATACAACACAAGGTCTATTTGTGCAAGCTTAAAATATCAACTGTTAAAGATTGTCCAACAAGGTTGCCAATGTTGATTATTTTCCTATGATTGTCATTTCAAATCATTAGTTTAAATTGAAGAATTAAAACTCTTAAATTTCAAACTTGTCTCTTCATTGAACTGAAACACAGACACACGGATATGATCGTCAGTTTATCGATGAAAACAACCTTTGAGTCTTCTTATCTCTATAAAATTTGGTTATTAATTTATTAAAATTAATATCTCAAATTAATATGTAGAATGGTTCCTCTTTAATAAAAGAGCCATGAACCATTACGCTACATCACCCTATGGCAACCCCACTTGGACAAATTACATTGCACACATTTTTTAAGCAACAAAGCATTAAAATCAATATGTTTGTTTATTCATGGCACTTTTATCCAAAGAGACGTACAACTGTTAACCTACAGAGTAGAGGTGCTGAAAAAAATCGATTCAAGTCTGAATCAGGATTTTTATTTATAGAGATTCAGAATGGATTCCAAGAACTCGAATTTTTGGCATGTTACAGGTTTGAGATGCACGTTTTTGATCTTTGTTAGGAGAGTCAGTACTCCGTTTACGTTTGTGGTCCCATAAATTGAGATGATTTGTGTTTGAATCTGCTGCTAAGAGGGCACTTGAATGTAAATTTTTCCATACTCAGAAAATTTGAGATTTTCTCATATTTATTTTCTAAGTTGATAAATGAGTACTCAGGATTACTCATGTAACTTGTTTCTACACATACTTGAAAAGTATTTGACCATATTACTTTCAAAGCTACTGTTAGGCAACTACAGATTTGTTATATTTTACAAGGTAAGCAAAAATAAATGTTGCCTTTTGGTCAAAAGATTGTTTCTGTTTACAGTTTTAGAATCACTTTATTTTACATTGTAAATTTGCATTTTTGGAGCACGACCAGTTTAAAGTCAAATAAAAATGTCCCATAGCTTTAACTAACTTGTATAACAAAGTAGTTAATCCTGGAGCTGACACTCTTTGTTAATACTGATTGTGAATCGATTTAAATTGAGAATCGAGAATAGATTCTGAATCGAATCGGCACCCTAAGAATCGGAATCGAATCAAATCGTGAGTTGCTCTAAGATTCACATCCTTACTATAGGGCATGTTGTGATCTGTGGGGGAAACTGGAGTACCTGGAGGAAACCCAAGCATGCATGGGGAGAACATGCAACTCCACGCAGAAAGACTGCAGCCGGGTTTTGAACCTGCAACCTTCGTGCTGCGAGGCAGTTGAGCTAACAACTGCACCACCATGCAGCCCAATATCAGAGTCTAGCAACAAATGGCTCTCATACCAACTCATAGATGTGTTTCTGGATGTATTTATATAATTAACACCCCTAGATGTTTGTTTTCAGTAAATGTTTTGTTCTTTTGTTTCCCTCATTTGTTCTTGCCATTTATTCCATTAAAGTCTTGTAGTAAAATCAAACTGTGCCCAATTTAATAAAAAATCTCTAAAATGTATTATTTACCATGTAAGTAAAGAAAGCTGACCATTTTTTATTACAATGTGCAATCTGGGATTTCATAGTGGAGCAAATATCAGTTGCAAAGGTAAGGAATGTAGTTCTTTGTAAAGTCGTCCAGGTTTCAAACGACAACAATAAACCTACTGCCCACAAAAAGGACAACCCCGGGCAGATCTGGCAACCCGAGCACATTTTGTGCGGAAATTCCGCAATTTGACCGGACCAACCAAAATCTCCTAAGTCAACGAGCCAACGTCCAGCCAATCATGAAGCATGACGTCATCTACAGGCGCTGGGCCCTGAGCAGATCTGGTACACTGATCTTGTGAAGATATGTTTTAACAGTCAAGAACCATTTCCCCAGTAGTTGTGCTTGATTTAATTCTGATGTTTAAAAAATTATATTTTTATAAAATGCCTAGAATAGAAGGTCTTGTTCTTTTTTTTGTCCTACATCCAAACTCCTGAATGCCATCAATGTTTCCCTGAGTTCAGTAGAGAAAATAAGATCATGTGACGGTCTCAGATACACAAACTGACTCTTTATTTTGTGATGTACACAACTTGAGATTGTTATTGTTCCGTGCGATCCCAATGGATGTAGATTTGGTTAGCCCATTTCCTGGGAAAGGATCCTACCGTTACACTTTTGGGTGCAGGACACAACGTTGAGGCAGACCGTTAGGGGTTTTTCAACCCAATGTGCTAATGGGTGTGACCCACCACCTCACCCCTGCCACGTGGACCTCAAGGGATAAACCATCAATCCTGCTCAATGGTCAACTTTCCCCGCGGGGTCACCCATAAAGACAGTGGGAGGGTTATGTTCGATGCTGATTTTTAAAGGATTTTGTTGCAGATGGTGGTGGATATCTAAAGCTGGGTATTAAGGCCGATATTTACGTTTTAGCAGCACATTAATCGTGAAAGACACCTGAACACTCACTGTGTACAATATAAATAAATAAAAAAAATCAATAAATCTTTTAATATTTATTGAACTTCAAAAGTGGGGTCCTTTGGGTCCTTTCTTCAGTCTTGTAGTGGTGGTGGTTGGCCACACAGGGGCCTGATTTTTATTTTATTTTATTTTTTATCGGCTTTTACAAATAATTTTGGCCAATATAGAAACAATTGAACATATCGGCCACCCTCTAATAAAATGTTGGTACACTTCAGTGACAAAGCTTCATGTCAGCATTAGCAACAGAGCTAAAAGACATTCACATGCAGTACAGCTCAGTATAGAGACCAGGGCCCTCATTTATCAAACATTGTGTAGAATCCTTACTAAAACCGTACTTAAGCTCTACAAAAAAAAAAGTACTTACGCCAAGTAGGTTTGTGATCTATCAGACATGGGGTACGCACAGCTGCACGCAATCTCTGCTTCATAAATCTGAAACTATCTAGAAAGGTTCTCAGCTGCTTTTTAGTCACATCCAGCCCTCACCACGCCCACTTATTGCCATAAATAGTCAATGCAAAGTGCCTTGTGGATCTCGTGCATATACATAATCCAGCTGTTGCAGCGCTCCGCCAATGATGATGGCGACCGTAGATCAAGGCAGATCAAGGAAGTGCAATTTCACAGAAGCAGAAGTTGAGGTACCTGTGGGTGAGATGGAGTAATGAAAAGAAGTGCTTTTGCAAAACAAATAAGAGAAAATCCACGGAGTGGCACAGCGTTGCTGAAGCCGTCAATGTTGTGAGTTCTTCAGAGAGATCTGTGGTGGATATAAAATAATGGTCCAATCGGGATTCGATCCCAAGACTCCTAGGTGAAAGTCACGCGCCCTAAGCAGTCACCCAAACGGAGATCTCCCCTGTACAAGTAGCCAGGGTGCATGATCAATCGGGTCACAGTGACAGGACACACACACCGTCACAGACGCATGATGTTCTGTCTCAGTCTGTCCCCCTGCTGATATTCTGCATTCCCTATTCTGCGCTTCAGGCTGTGTGTGTGTGTGCGCGCGTGTGAGTGTGCGTGCGCATGTGTGTGTGTGCGTGCATGTGTGTGAGCGTGTGGGGGGTCTTGTTCTGTGTGAAAACGAAGCAGTACAAGTGATAATGCTGCAGGATTTCATAATTGTATCCTTCTCAGCAGCCGCACTGCAGGTGCTCTCCATGTCCAAAATGTGCGTAAGCAAGGTCCTTAGTCAAGTTAAAGTTGCGCAAATTTTTCCGCTAAGTTTTCTTCCATAAATCCCAAGTTTGCGTGGAAAGTTGCTTACGCAGTTTTCCGACCCCATTTTGTGCGTAAGCAAGCTTGATAAATGAGGCCCCAGGGCCCTCATTTATCAAATGTTCAGAAAAACTGTCCTATATTCCCTAAGATCGAAATTTAGAATGTTCGTACTAACCGTCAAAAGACTGATTTACGAAAACAGTGGTGGCCTCTCCTACGCACGTTCCTCCGCAAACGTCTGACAATAAATCCCACCTGTGCGTACCCAGGTGCTC